GGATGAATAACACCACCGGAAATAAGATCAGCTGCATTATATTGTGTCTAGTAACTTAGTTTCCTCTTTGCCACCATGGCCTGCTGGCCCAATGATGCCATTGTATCATAACAGTCTAGGTTCGATTCTCAGAGTCAGTAGAGGATGTGGACTGCTGATGAGTACCAAAAAGGACAAAATGGCTGTCCAGTGCTTTTCTGCAGTGTGTGTATTGAGGATCCTAGGTCTAGACATGATGAATAAGTGTGTGTGTGTGTGTATATATATATATATATATATATATATATATATATATGAAACCTAAGGCACCTTCGTTGATGGATTTCATCTCAACAAGAAACTGGTTAGACAACTGGAAAAGATCAGCAAAAAAATAAATAGACACAGTATGTCTATATTATTCAATGAAATATATATATATATCAGTAAAAAAAACAAAAACAAACCATTACATGAAAAAAAAAAAAAAAAGAATGCTGTATTCCATTACAATGATTTTATCATCAGACATAAAAAAGGAATAATAATAATAATTGAAACTTCTGCAAAATCAACATCATTTTCATTTCTGATAATATTTTACTGTAACAGTCCTGATTATGCTGATTATTACCAGAGAGAGAGACAATGCAAGAGAAAAAGTGTTCATGCCTTTTTATGTGCAAGATAATATTTCTTGCAAACAATCCCAATCATATCTGTTTCATTATTTCTTCTGAATGAATCTGGTTAAATTAGGCCATTTTACTCTCCAACATATACATGTTTATACATCCAAGAAATTAAAGATTACTTCTCACTCAGAAAATTGGATTTGATTATAAAGACAAAGTTGAATGAAGTTATAATAGTCAGAAAATGAAACCGTTTCTTTATATCCTTTGCAAGATGACAAAATTTGGTATAGAAGTTATATATCTATGACACAAGGACACTGACATGGGGTAATTATTAGAAAACTTGTCTTGCTAGATCAATTACAACTGAATAGTGAGTTTGATCCTCATTTTGTGCTCCATACTTTCGACCTTGTGCCACATCTAAGACACAACTAGAAAATCATTTTGGGCACTATGGCATGGTATAATGATTAAAAAGTTTGTCTTACTAGATCAATTATGAGTGATTAGTGAGTTTAATCCTTACTGGGTGCCCCATACTTTCGGCCTTGTAGCACATCTAAGCTATGCTTAGGAAATCACTATATCTATGACGAGTTACATAATGAATGTAAGTAAAAATATATACATTATTCTTCAAAGGTTTGGGCAGATTTCAATTATTTTTATATCATTTGTGCTCAGCCAAAAAACTTTGAAATAAACAGTTTTATAAATTAATTTCAATGAAATCAAGAATAGTACCAGCAGTCAAAAATTTAATAATAATACATTCATACATTATATCTAAACTTACATTCAGGGTTTCAACAGGGATGTCCAGAACTTCAATACATCAATGTAGACAGTGGTATTTACCCAGAGGTCTTCTGGTGGGTGGAGAAGAAGGGCAGCATAACACAGCTCCCACTGTTCATAATCCAGGGCTATCTGATATATGTGAATCACTATAGGTGTGGGGTCTGCACAGTCATATCTCATTACCTGGCTGCTAGTGTCATGAGCATAGCATATCTTTATTCCATATCTAATTGGAGACTGATATGTTAATGCTCTCAACTCAGATCTTTACTGAATATCTATGCAGATGATACATTTTTGTAGATGCATCTCCAAAAATCTGGAAGACCACAACCTGACAGCTGATCTCTCCTCTTACATAGTCCTGGTGGATCAAATGGGGAAGGACTGGGGTAATATTAAAAAAGAATTTATTCTAACCAATAATTATTAAATTATATGATAAAATTTGATATTAAAATTAAAAGTAAAAATTACCAATTTTAAAATCCAAATTTAATCACTAATAAGTTTAAAGTTATAAAATTGCTGAGGAGGAAAGAAGAAATACATGTTATTCAATTTATTTCTTCATTGAAATTACGTTAGAATAGACGCTTATCTGTCATCCGGCCATCTGACAATATGTATACATTTTAATCCCAAATGTGTGAATGGGGTCCTAACCTCACGCGTAAAACAACCCAAACACACTCAGATTATAATACATAAGCACCCAGACATATTTAGATATATATATATATATATATATATATATATATATATATATATATACACACAAAAAGTGACGAGACAGGGAACATCTCCACGGCCCTTTATAAAAAAACAAAAAAAAACAAAGGGGAAACAAACACATGCATACATAATTAAAAGTGAATGCACTTTCCATACACAGACACCAATAAATACATGTACACACATACATTGACCTAGACAATCAGATACCACATCCAAGAAATATTTAAGACTGAAAGTGTCACTAAACAAATGCTAACCACTTATTAAAATATAACTTAAGCGAGCAAATATACAAAGATAAAAATGGTTAAAATAATATATATTTTAATAAATAAGATAAAAAGAACTACCTACAGAAATAAGTGTACATTCACATGTATATACACATATACACAGAAATATGTCTACATACATCCATCCACACACACACAATATATAATATATCAGCTTTTTTATATATATATATATATATATATATATATATATATATATATATATATATATATATATATATATATATAGTTAAACCTAGAGAGCCAGACAAACCTATCAAGGTTTAAATCTAAGCGGATTGTCAGGGAAGCCTTCCCTAACGATCCGCTTAGATGAAACTTTGGTAGGTTTGTCTGACTCTCTAGGTTTAACTAGGTCTTCTCTACTTACTGTATCGAGCACTTTATTTAGTTATTTTGCCTACTCTTATCAGGGTGTTTTTCTTTGGGCTTGCATGCTAGACGATTATTTTCAGCTAATGTACATGTTCTTTCTTTTTTTTCCCTTTGGTATTGGTTTGATTATCTGCAAATGAAAACACTGAAGGTTTTCTGAATGAGTAGAATTTCTTATACTTATAAGATTACTACTAATAATATATATATATATATATATATATATATAAAATTGTAGAAAATAATTCTTTTTTTTTTAATTAATATTCACCCAATACAAAGTCTACTTACTTAGGAGGTTACTCAACAATGTTGTATGAACATAAGAGGAGGAGTTAAGAAGCGCAGTTTATATGTAGGAAAGACAATGGTTATAAATGCACAAAATTTGGTGGCCTTATGATAGCATTCCCACTGAGATTATAAATCATAAGGCCACTAAATTTTGTGCATTTATCAACTAGATGGTGTGTGTAGGGGTGTATATAGATTCAAATTTTTATTTTTCTGAAATAAATGTATTTTTATTTTGAATAAAGCGATAATACTTTAAATACAGTTAAAAATAATTATAATACATATTTAAAGCAAGAAAAATAAAAATCTCTAAATATTTCTTGAGTATCAAAAAAAATTTTCAAAGTATTTTCAACTATGACAATTATCTTTTATGATAAATCAAATTAAAAAACATTTCAATATATAAACAATTTCAAATTAGAATGTTAAGGCTTGACATGCTGTAAAACATTACATTCAGTCATCTTCCATTCATTAAAGATTTTTTCTCAAAAACCTGGCATGCCCAGTAGCCCAAAATATAAAAAAGTTTGAAATATAATAAATGGTTAATAGCATTTATATAGAATACAGCCACTCTTCACTTAAGAACTGGATTCCATTCTAGCGATCTGGTAAGTGAGAAGTTGTACCTGACCGCTATTTTAAGTACACTATACATGTAATGAGTTTGAACAACTAGCTACAAACAGCTTTATTGTTACTTTTGCACTATTTGTAATACTTTTAATCTTTATTCATTCTTCACTTTATTTATTTTGATTCATTTTGAAGAAAGGGATCATTTCCCTGATCAAAGTTTTTGTAGCACGTACAATACTGACTGGTTGGATTTTCTTTTTATGAGATTTTATAACTGGTTATAAGTTTGCAGAGATTGTTAAGCAGTCACTAAATGAGGATTGACTGTATATAAACAATTAGTAGCATTTATATTAAATGCATAATTGTATTCAACAATTACCAATTTTAGAGATTAAACCTTTATTCACTTGATATTTTGATGCTTTATACTATCATTTATTTTAGTAACTTTGTTATATTTATTTTGTTAAATATTAAAATATTTTATAAGTGAATTGATTAAGTTCTATATCAAACTGTAGATGAATTATTCAAAATTTCAATATTGTTTTATACTTTAAAAAGTATGAATCTATTATTTGGAATATTTAAAGAATTTCTAAAAAGAAATATTAGAAATTGACAATATTATTTTAGATTCTACACCTTTTTTTTTTATTTACATATGGATGATTGTCCTCATCTTTGTTGTTATTACATTTTATCTGTTGTGCTCTTTGGCCTTCCTCAGAATGTATATAAATCTGGGTAATCTACAAGGAATTTTGAACTGAATCCTTCATTTAATCTATGGTGATAGACTGTTCTTGTTTTATTGCCCATGTTTAGAGTTATTTTGTCAAATTCTTATTTAGCCCTGATTTTTAATATTTAAAACTTAGGGTCACACTGTTAATTTAAATTTATCAGATGAAAATTAGAATTCAAAATTTAACCAAATGAACAGTTTATTTTTATTGAAACAAGAATGTTTATCTTGATGGTTTAATCTTTATTTGATCCAGATATTTAACAACATTAAAATGTAAGAGTTACATTGGTTAACATGTTAGAATATACTAATTTTTACTTACTTATCAGATATTATCATACTGTTATATTATTATTTATTCTAAATTGTTAAAATATCTTTTAAGAGAAATGGCAACAGTAGTATTACTTAAGCTGGAAATTGTTAAATAGTAAGACCAAACAGAATAGGTAGCACCAAGAGGTTAGTAAAAAGCAATTTGTTAAAAAAGTAAATAAAACGGTTAGTAAAAATAAAAATTAAATAAAAATAAATTACCAGATTCCTTGAACTCGCCAGAAACAATGGGATCTAAGGGAATTGAAATGAAGTAAAAATTGAAGCTTGTCATATAGTTTTAAAATCTTTGCTTAAAAGTAATAAGTGATTATATTATAATGGAGACAAATGTAATTGTATAACTGACAGTTAAAAAAATAAAAGAAGTCTGTAAAGTCTATCTCTGGTCTTTGAAAAGGACTTGGAATTTCTAATTAATATGCATTTTGCAGCATAGTAAGTTTACTTATTCTATTGAACTCTATTTAGGAACAGTGATAAATAAAAGATATCACCTTGACCAATCTTACTTGCCAGGTGGTGTTTTGGCACTGTTGGTTACAGCATTTTGTTGTCTTAGCCATTAAATGTCACCACCTTGCTAGTTGGGTTGGCAGGATGTTGCATCTGTTCCTACACTGTTGCTGGTTTTGAATTCAGAGATTTACTTCTCTTAGACTGGTTGCTAACCAAGGCAAAAGAGCCTAGTCTTCTGCTATTTAACCCATAGCTGTGAGGAGAGAAGATGAATTCATACCTTTTCCAAAAGTATTTGTGTGAACCTCAACACACCAGTTCCACACCGATTGTTGTTATGTGCACAGTCATAAATATTTATAAATGCTGTGTGTGTGTGTGTGTGTGTGTGTATATATATATATATATATATATATATATATCTCCACCAGCTATAGCAGCCAAGTAGATTTATGCAGTTACTTCTTTTTTCTTCCTCCTCTCTCTTTTCTCATAACAAGTGCATATTCAGTTCAATGTATAACAAACTGTTGCAATTTTCATGGTTAATTAAAAAAAAACAAAAAAAAACAAAGAATACTCAATGACTAAGCTGCCAATATTGGTAGACATTTCCCCACCCACCAAATTAAAGTAAACATTTAAAGCAGTTATATGAATTTTGAAAGTACTTAGAAAGTATAGACATATGGATATAGCAAGCAGTAAACTTGATACTTTTTCTATTAAGCAAATGTTGCAACAAATATATAAAGCAAAAGATAGAATATCTTAAAATAATGACAACATTACAAGCAACAAAGCAAATAAGTGAATAATTTTATACATTTTTTTCATTAATCACCATTAATTAGATAAGAAGTTATAGTAAATTTTTTTACAAACATTTTTGTATCATATTAATGGTTTATCCATGTTATCAGGAAGTTACTATGTGAAGCTGAAATCACAATAATGTTCTTATATTCTGACAAGTTAGCATGTGGTCCTTAATTATTACAAACATTAAAATAATAAAATTCAAATTCATTCACATATTGAGTTAAATACATAGGCATTTTATAAAATCCAAAAAAGAACTTTCTGCTCAATGCTTGAAAACAGCAAATGGCCTTCCAAATGCAAGTTCTAATTTCAATACAATGCATTTGCAATAGTTTAGAAATGTCACTAGTATTGACCATGTATATAAATGCTTTTGAATACTTTTGCTATTTTACTGATGAGTAAAATTTAAATTTCTTTAAATTCTATCTTTTTTGAAAAGACTTTGTAAATGATTTCTAAAATTATTTACCTATTACATGAAACAAATTACCCTATCTAAAATCAATATTTGCAAGATTAAAGACATTACATTTTCTCATACATTTCATTTAAAATTTAACTAAATTAGTTTTTATAAATTTCACCAGTATTCTTTAAAGCAAAATTTAATAAGATCAATTTTATAGATTTGCTCTTTAAATTTTTATATAGAGACAAAATATGTTTTATTTGTATAAACAATCACAATCTGTATCAATACAATGACGTGTCACATTCTACATCTTCTTACTTACAGTTCTTTTCCTCATCCTGCTACTTATTGCTGACCCATTTGTTCTAACTTTCTATTTTCATGTTTGTTGTTGTTCTTTATTCATCTTGATAAGACTTTTGACATACTAATAGATATAGTGAAGAATAGTTACCTTTTCTTATAATTTACACTATTTTCAGTCAGAGATTTCACTTTAACATTTGAAAGTTCCACTTTGAACACTGAACAAACACTGCATACACACACAAACACACATTAGGGGTAATTTTCTTTTTAAGCCCTGTGCTAAATATGTAATAAAAATTTGCTGAATAGTTATATGTACGTGTAAATTTACATACTTAATTTGAAAATAAAGAAATTTTGATAAAATCTACTGTTTTGGGTTTATCGACAATAGAAGTTCAGATTCATTCGATCAAGGCAGCCATTACTGCAGATATTTGCTGTGGAATAAACTTTTTATTGCACACGCAATGAGTCTTTAGTTGCGCAATAATTCAGTCAAGTAAGAACTGTAAAAAGGCCATTAACAATGTAATCTTCCACGCAAATCTGATCAGCAGTGAATATATACAAACAACACCAGTAATGGCTGCCGTAACGTAACACGAAGGAGTCTGAACGTTTATTGTCAATAACTCCTAAACAGTAGATTTTTTTCAAAATTTCTTTGTTATTTTTTAGTTAAGCATGTAAATTTACATGTACATATACATATAACTATTCAGCAAATTTTTATTAAATTTTTAGCAAGTGGCTTAAAAATCAAATTACTGCACATTAGAGCAGTGATTCTCAACTGCCATGCTGCAGCACACTAGTGTGCCACGCAATTCTCTTAAGTGTGCCATGAAAGTATAATTGGATTCAAAATCCCTTCATAAATGTTTCTTCTAATATTTGACTTCAGTTATGTGAAGAAGAATTGGCCACCATTTCTAGTGATTAAGGGCTCAAAATAAAACATTCAACATTGATATATTTTGGACTTCAATACAAAAGGAATATCCTACATTAGCTAAAAAGGCTTTTTCACTTTTGTGATTTTCTACTATTTATTTATGCGAATTAGGCTTTGCAACCCTAAATAACATCAAAAATAAGAAGTGAGAAAGTCTACACTCAACTGAAGAAGAAATGAGGGTCTATTTATTGCACATTCAACCAAACATTGAAGAAATTATAAAAAAAACAAAACACTAGGCACAAGTTTGATACTAAATAAGCTACACAAATAGTTGAATAGAAACATTGAAATAAAGTAAAATCATTTTTGTGTGTGTATTTCTTTTTTTTTTTAAATCTATTGTCTTATTTCATAACATTTAAATGTATATCCTTTAAAATTTTGCTAAGTGTGTCGTGATATATTTATTTACTTCTAGGTGTGCCAGTGTTTAAAAAGGTTGAAAAATACTGCATTAGAGCAATCTAATGAACTCCCAGCATCATTAACAGAATTTTGAGTAATTTACAAATTGATACAGCCCCCTTGTCTCTTAATTACAGTGCTTCAGTCTACTCTATTGTTAAAAGAAACATTTCCTTAGAAAAAAAGTAATAGCTATAAAGTAAACTTAAATACTCCCTTTTAGAATATCTAACTAAAAGTTCTTTATAAAAACTAATCCTTGTGACTGAATAATTAAACATGTAATTCATGTAATTATTTACATTTACAGTCGGACTGATGTCCTTATGTTTGTTTTTACTATCACAACATTTCAGTCAATCCAAGTAATACTCAGGGAATTTTGAACTGAACTTTTTATTCAATTTACAGTGGTAGATAGTTGTCCATATCTAGGGATATCTTGTTTTGTAATATTCTACTATAAATAAGATGAATAACCTTGGTAAGCATGACTTTAAAGTGGAGCATTAATGAGTCCAAGACATGGAGCTAAATCAATGTGGATTGAGACTATATTTAAAATCATCTTTTTGGATGGCACTATGGCTGTAAGAACCAATTTAACAAATTTGAACTAATAACTAAAAATCCATAATCTCCCAAAATCAGGTAATATCAAAGTCTTATAAGAGGAAGCTTGCCATTGCAAATTAGGTTATGATTTCATCACCATCATTATTACAGTTACAATTCTTTTTTAAATTGCATTATTATCTATAATCTCTATAGTTTGTTTGTTTCTACCTAGATATTCAAGATATGCATATTGATTTCAATATTCTGACAAAACACTGGCTTCACAAGTTACCTTACTAGGTCTTTTCATTATTCTTTTAGAATGGAAAATTATATTATTCATAGACAATAAGGATCAAATTAAACTAGATTATATTTGCAACAACCAGTATGTAGCCATGGACACCTTTGTGCAACTAAGGCATTACAGAATATAAAATTAATAAGAGTAGAATAAAAGTTTTTGAAAATGAAAAACAATTCTGTTTGTTTCTTCAATATACATTTACAAACTGATAAGTTGTTTGATATTTTGAGATGAAGCCATATTCTGATGAATGTGCATGTAGCATAATGACCATCAGTGCAAAAAGTGGAATCATTATATCAATATCAAATTCCATCAGAGTTTGTTCTATTTACTTTCACACAAATTACCTTGAAAGATATGAATCCATCTCCTCACCCTCCAGCTATAGGTTAAATAGTAAAACAGATTGGGCTCTCTAGCCTTGATTGGCAATCAGTGTAGGAGAAGGGTAACTGAATTTAAAACCAGTTGGCTGTAGCATTAGCAATTTCAAGTTATAAAGACCTACTTGCTACATAAAGCACAACACCATCTAACATGAGGCTTTAGAACCCCTAATCTCCACTGAATAGTGGCATAATGGAGAAAGTAGTTTATTCTTCCTAATGATAACAAATATCTCAAGGATTACAAGATATAATATAAAGTTAAGCAAAGAACATGCCCACTGAAATGTTATAATAAAAACGTATTTAAAACTATTCTATGTTTGTCTCATTACAACAGGAATTGTTTCATGTTCTGTCCTTAAATTTGAAAGAAACACAGGAGATTTTCTGAAAATAAATACAATTCTATTTGTATTTTCTAATAATTTTCAATAAATGTTGAGGCTATTTAAGTAAGATGCACTTATGAAAAAGGGCATGGATTTGGGGAAGATTTTATTCTGATCAAAAAGTGTTGGGACTGTTTCTAGGCTTATGCAGAATGAAGCCATTTATCACAGACTGACCTTGAACCCTGCCACACATACACACTAAGTTATAATGTTTAAACTCACTTCTATTGTTTATAGCAGTGGTTGGAAAGAAAGAGTGTAAAGTGAGGTCATCTCACTACACCTCAGAAGTTCCATGGCTTGATTATGGCTTGTGAAGCAGCTTTTGGCCAAACACAACATTCCCCAGGTCCGACAAGCACCATATTTCCCAGATCTCAACCTTTGTGACTTTTTCCTCTTCAAAAATCAAGTCCCACTTGAAAGGAACAAGATTTGAAAATGTTGAGGAAATCCAAGAGAATCAACAAGGCAGCTGTTCGCTATCCAAAAAAGTAGTTCCAATGGTAAAACTAGATAAAATGTGTGGCTTAAAAAGAGAGATACTTTGAAAGAGATTAAATGCTGAATTGATATGTGTTGTAGTTTTCTTTTTATAGCACCAGTCCCAATATTCACTGATCAAATTTTGTATAGCCAAAACCTTAGCTACTGAATAGTGAGAACAGGTAAGAAATAAAATAATATCTCACTATTTATTACACAGTTAATAAAAGTATCAGAACAGTGCAAGAGTCATTACAATTAACTTCACTTGATATTCCCTACCTACTGTCAAAATTATTTGTATTGAATATCAAGAATGTTTCAGTATCTGCCAATACTGTCTAGAATAAACAGAAAATGTTCAAAGATTTCTACAAGCTTTTGTAAACAGTATAGAATGGAACAATATTGGAAGATTACACCAATGAATAAACCAGTTTTTCTGGCACCAGAAACCACCAGATAACTCAATCTATTCTAACAGTTCCTTTATACAGACAGACCTTTCATCTCTCCAAGGCATCTCTGTTGAAGAAGCTTTTTATCTCTCTCTGTTTTTGCTAAAATATCTATGATATGATCTAACTGCTACAATTACTTTGCATAAACATGCTTAAGGAAAAGAATAAATGAATGAAAAAAAAGAAAGAAAGACAAGCATTTCCTTAAAAAAGAATAGAAAAAGACCTCCACCCCACATACACACAGACAAAAAAATTAGTTCAACTATAACATTTGTTTGGAGATTGTGCATGTAATAAAACTGATCAAGAATAGAGTTAAATATCAATAATTCAGAATTTGATTATGAAAAAGACTTTATATGGCCTAAGGATAATCACTTAGGATATAAAACAAACTGATTCACATCATGGTTTTATAAGTCCATTGTTCAGATGACCAGATTATTTGTGTTGAAAATGTTAAAATTTTCAGAATAAACTAAATAGCCTCTTTAATTTTTTATTTGACTATTTTTCAAATCTGACATAAATCAATGAGAAATATCTAAGCCTTTATCTACAAATATTTTTGTTATCTTCTAAAAATTCAGAATATGAAAAGCAATACTGGTACTGCATAAGAGATTTTTTATGGTGCAGCATTATCTGCATGAGTCATGTTCCTTTTATAATGACAAAGAGCAATATATTCATAGTCTGATCTCTCCAGAAATTTTATATATGAAATCGTTTATGTACTTATGTATGTGTTGATATCTCATAATCTAAGAAAAGAAATCATTTTTCTTCTTGAAAGTAACTAGTTACCAGAGTTTACATTGAAGAATAACTTTAGCACTAAGAATTATTATGTTAACTGGAGTAAGCAGTGGTATTTTGACATTCAGTTGTTCTGATATTGAATTTTCAATAGAATGAAGTATTTTTATTTACATAGCTCAACAGCTGTATATTTTTTCATACCAAAGGAAAAGTTAATAGGTTCATATTTTTACAATCCACATAGAGTGACAATAAAATATAGTTTCAAAAATAGATAACATCTTTCAAAGAGTTTCAAGATAAATATACAAATGAATTAAGTGATGATACAAAGTAAAAGCTAAGTATGGATAAGTCAGTTGCTGGTTAATGAGTTCAATTATTTGATTTATATATTTATATAAAGATAAAAACAGAGTTGCCCAAGAACATTCAGATAAGCAAAATCATAAAAATGTTACTGGCAGGTGTTTTAGTAATTTAGCAACCAAGTCATATAAGTCATATGTATATTAAGTAAGTATTCTTGTTTAATATTCTCTAAGACAAGATAATAAACAGGTTAGTGTTTGGAGAATGTTATAAATAACCAAAAAAAGAAATCTGCCTATTACATCTTTGTTTATTAAATATTACCAACAGGTATTTTGAGAACTTACATTCTATAACAATTCCAAGTGTATCATAAGAGTGCTTGAGATATGTAATGGATAAAGTTTGACAATAGACTATATAAATTTGGATACTCATTTAAAAAATGAAGAAAAATCTGCCTATGCTGGATGTAGAGGAAAACTGGCTATCCTTCTTCTATGTGTGTGTCCCTTCATAACATGACTGATCATGGCTCTCCACAACTTTAAAGCTCATAGTAAGTTTTGTCTTTTTGCTATCATTCCTCATCCCTGTTCTGACAATCATTTACATGAGCTTGTTAGGTAGATTACTTGATGCTTTCCTCAATCCCTCTTGCCTACAATATATCCTGTGAGTATCAAATTCTCCAAGCCCTCCTTTCCTAGTTAAGCACCCTAGAAATATCAACTGTTTCTTTCTGATTCTAAATATAAGTGTTCTTTTTGTTTCCATTTTTTTTAAACTTCATCGTTACTCACATGTTCAGTCCATGATATTCTCAGTATCCTTCTGTAGAACCACATTTCTGTTGTCTTAAGTCACTTCTTCATCTGTGATATATAGGAGGGTCAATATTACATAAGAGTTCAGCACTCTTTTCTAGGTTTCTAACTAAATTTTTGTGTTTCTTAATACTTTGCTTAGCTTTTTAAAGGCATCTTTCAATATTCCAATGTACCTTCACATTTTGGTATTACATTTTCCATCCTCTATTAAAACACTTTCTAAATATTTAATGAGCAGTACAATTATTAAATGAATATTATTAAAAACACTTGCATAAACAATCTGAAGAGAAAGAAAATGCTATCAAAAAGAAACACAATTTAAAAATGATAATCTACTACAAAAAGCAGATATAATTTACCTTTTGTATATATTGATATATTATCAATGCCATGGTCTTCTTCTTTCATAAATTTAAAGAAATCTCCCACAGTATGTGATATTGGCTTCAAAACAAATTCACATGTTTCTTGGCGAGAAGGTAAAGGCACTGAAAACACAGGTAAGCCATCTCTGTACCGCAAACTAGCATCTAGAAAAAAAAGAGAGAAAAAAAAACTAATTAAAATATTATAATGAATACAATACATGATTTGGTTTGTTGAAGATTGCTATTTAAAATACCTAATTATAAGATAACAAAAAGAGTATTACAGATTTTATATATAACCAATAACAAGGAGAATATAGTCAAAAGAAAAAGTAGTATATCATGCATTAAAATATGTATATATGAAGGATATATGATATAATGTATACTGTTTCTATTATTTACACTTGGACTACTGTCCTCATCTTTGTTGTTATCATGTCTTAGTCATTGTGTCCTCTGGCCCTCATCAAATGATTGTCAGTCTGAGTAATCTTCAGAGAATTTATTTTCCTCATTCCAATATCCATGTCTAGGATTTTATTTAGTACTGCTCAGTTATTTCTCACTCTGTTTCTACTAAGTCTGCATTATCCAATCCAGGGATTGAACTCACAATTACTATGTCATTAAATTCATGAATCAACACTTATCAACTATCTATTTCCATATATCAAATAAATGGTTCAATATTCCTGAAGGTTAACTGGATCAACAATCATCTGATGAAGGCCAGAGGGCACAATGGCTGCAGCATTGAGATAATAACAACAAAGATGTCGACAATAGTCTGAGTGTAAATAATGATAACTCATCATCACAAAAATTCAGACAGAAAATAATGATGGTACTTTTAAGAAAGTTATGACGTACATTGCAAAAACAACAAAATTATTTCAAAATTGAAGTGTCTTAGCTATCTGAACTGATAAAATATATTTATAGTAAATTATTCAGTCAATGAATGAGTGGAAATATTAAAAATGAAAATAAGACTGAAGCTTGCACTATTCTTGGTAAAGAAAGACAATATGTGAGCACTTTATCTACAGTACTGCTGGTGAAACAAGAATTGTAAATATAAAATTCTTTTGTATTGCCGATACAGCAGAAGTGAGCAGAACATCACTGTGTGGGTGAAGCAATGGAGAGGGAAGTTGGTAAGGCCTGGAATTGATGCATGTGTCAGGTTGGTTATCAAGGTCATGATGGTGACGAGAGAGGCCAGGAGTGGATTAGTGAAGATAGATGTTCACCACAAATTTGACTTTGCCAATACAGAATGAGCAGAATGTGTCTGTGGGAAGGATGTGGGTATTTGGAGGAGAGTGGGTCTCAAGTGGATGTGTGTGTTGGATCGATTGAACAAAGTCATGGTGGTGTCAACAGCTGTTGGCTGTGTTCTGCATCATTTGTTAATGAACAGCTTTCTTAAAAGCAAATCTGGTGGCTCCTGAGCTCACTTTTTTCTTTGACAGCAACATTTGTGATTGGCTTCTTTTATATCATATTTTAGATTTTAGAGCAAATTTGTTTTGTGAGCCAGATGTGATGCTTGGAGCCTCTGTGCAAAAAAATGACTATTTTGGTTTTTGCTTCTTTTTTTTTTTTTTTAGTGCTCACATCCAGCTGACATGTATAGAGTGAATCAGAAAGATATCTAATTTGTAGCTGAATATAATAATATACTACATGTCAACAAGGTAACACAAAGACAAATGCCACATTGAGAAATAAGAATACAAACCCTATTTCCTATATTATAAAATAGATGTTTCATTCAGAGCTTCACCTACTCATCTGAATAGGTAAGTAATACTTGGAACAACTTCTGCTTTTCAGTTTTACCCCATACCAACACCCTGTTTGTCTACTCATGTCAATATAGTGTCTGGCAATATAAATGGAGTCTTTGGAACTATGCGATGAACATGTCTTTCTCCTGCCAAGGGTGGATCAGAACTCTCTGATTCCATGCATGACTGTTAATATAGACCAGCACCCAGATATATTTCCTGTTTTGTTGCCACTTGATCTCCAAAACTCCCTAATCCACTCTTTTACTTCCCACTCCTTTTCATTCAAAGTGGATGCCACTTAGAAGACCAAACTTCAAAAGGGACCATCCGTTGGTCCATCAAACAGGAACAGTTGAGATTGAGATAAAACCACCACTTCACTTTCTACTTGGGTGTCCATAGTATTACATATGAAGTTAACTGCACCAGTGAAAACTGATTACTGTATTTGATAATACTTTGTGCTGAAAATGGAAAATGTTAAAAAAAAAAAATTATTGACTAGTACACTGAATGTTATTATAACTGCATCCATCTTCCCCATTTGCTTGAGTTAAAAACAAGTTTCTTTTCTTGTATTTATTATAAATTCAAGTAATTATAATATTTTAAAAAAAAAAAAAAAAAAAAGGAGTCTTACATGCTATTAAATATCATATTGTACATGTTATCTACTAAAAATGTAAGCAATTATTTAAAGTGAATGCAACAATAAAATCTTTAAATTATTTAAAATGAATACAACATTAAAGTCCTTCACATAAAAATAGATAATATCAATAAATTTCATTTTGAACTTAGTGTATACAGAAGCCGTGTCTGCCTTTTCAGTAATAATAAATATATCTCTAGAATTATTCCTCTAGTTGATAGGTGAACAAAACTTTCTTTATAAAGTTACAAACATTTAACCTATTTCCAATACAGAATTTTTTAAGCCAACCAAAAGTAACTGTTATGTAAAAAAACTAGTTCAACTCACATGAGGAATAAATGCTATAAAATTTTAAAAGTCATAATTTAATAAGTATTCCTTTCATTTTTTTCTTGGATGTTTTCATCTCCAGTACTACTCTTTTTTTTATCCCTAGTCTAGCTGTTTTATTTTCCAGGCATGTCCAGGTGAAATTTTATTCAGTACAGAATGTTTTAAGTTAGTTTTGCTTATACAAAGTTATGTATATTATTTAAATTTCTAACAAATTATTATCTATTATTCATTTTTGATTAGTATATCCTTCATTTAGTATTTCAATTGCTTTTTAGCACAAATCATTTTACGACAATTAGGAGACAGTACAGATCAGAAAGAAATAATTGGCAATGCTTAATTTCATTATATTTTTTGATTCACCATGTTATGGAGAGAATAGTTATTTTATATGATGAGTAATAGTTTTTTCTTATCCTTGCTCTTCCTCCTGCATTATGGTTAATATATTTAACCTATATTATGTAAAATATATATTCTTTTGAAATGTCCATTTTTTAAAGCCATAATAAAATATTGTACTCTTACCCAACAAATTATTGAAATACAAGTTAAATATTAATAATAATTTATCTCTACTGTGTTGTCTTTGTGTCTTTTTGATGTGCCTACACTTGCAAACATGGTGCAATTTTAAAAATTAAAACATGACTCTACTGAATTTATTATACACACCCAAAAGCATACACAAAGTAATTAAATGATTCCTCAAACATCTGCTGTATCAGAGTTATAGATAGCAAGCTATTTGTGTAGAATATTAACAAGAGAAATGGATACATTCCCGATTGGAAATCCAACTATTTTAACAAATGAGTTTCTCATATTTACAATCTTTCCCATTGATCAATGTTCGAGTCAAGGGGATTGCCAAGATTTCAAATACTAATTTAACAAAACCTTTCAACACCAATTTCCTTTGTATCGTATTTTAAGTTTGGCAAATATAACAATTTTTTTTTAATTCATCTTTTTATGCTAATGTTTAACAAAAAATGTTTTCATGCTGGGTATGATAAACTAAATCTGGCACCAAGGCCTCTGATTGGGAGGTTTTTGAGGAGCATGAAACTACCTCTTAACTGATTTGTTCCCAGGTCTACTCTGACCAGGATCCAAGCTATGGGCAAATAGTGAACCCTCCAAACAAAAATCAACAGAACATTTTTATAAAATGAGCAATAATACATTTTTATAGTAAAATTCCCAACAACACATTTCATATCTATAAATTATATATCTAAAAAACATAATTTTATACTTTCAGAGTAAAAGTATGTACAAAATATCTGTAGTTGAAAGCATAAAATTATGTACAAAATATTCATATTTTGGCATTAAATAACCCATGGAGGTTGATATGCCACTAAACAAAAATGACCAACAAACAAAACATTTTTTTGCATTTCTGTACAAACCAAATGAGAGAATGTTTACATCTTTAGAGATTTGTCATTTGCTATAGAAAAGCACAAAATAAAATGTCATAATTAAGACATCAAAATCAGTAAAAATTTAAACATTGCTTAGATTTTAAGCATGTAAGTGTATAAAATTATCTTCAATCTTAAAATAATTTAAATAGAGAAAATGCAAATATACTTTTCTGGCAGGTCAACATATTCCTATCTGTTTTAAAAAATTCACAGTAAACAAAACAACCCTTTTGTCATGTTCTACAAACATATTTTAGACAGTGTTGCATTCATATCTCAGTTAGCATTGGGTAATAAAATTCTGAAATGAATTAAGTTTTATATAGAAAAACAAACAAGTATATTTTAATAGAAAACTGAACACAATATTTTTTTTATTAAAGGAGATATGTAATGTTTGCATCACTACTTGTCAAACTTAACATTTGAAGAACACTGTGGCAAAAGAGACATTTTATATAAAAAGAAAAATTAATAAGCAAAGAAGCACACCAGGGCTGAAAAGACTAAACATTAAAAAGTAAACTGATCCATTGAAACTGAGCAGAATTCAATGTAAACCAATTTAGCTCAAAGATACATATTGCTATCAATAAACAATGCAAGCTAATAGAGTAGTGATTTTGTAGTTGACATTAAGAGTTCTATCATTAGATGACATATGTGAATATCATGTAATTATTTTGAGTTGTTGCTGAATATTTCTAGCTGATAACAACCAATTCATGAGTAACTACTTTCTTTCCTCAAGTCAAAATAAGACTAGAAGCAGCGCATTATACAAAATAGAAATATAACAAGCAATTTAGCTTGCTGTACTAAGTAGCTATCACAGACCAATTTGCAAATAGTAATTATAAAACAATGCAGACAACTTCCTTAATATCCCTGAAGCAATCTTTATTACTTATTAACCTTATAAGTAATAAAGATTGC